ATACCGGTGCTGAGGCCGGGGTTGAAACCGGCTGTTGGCGGGGGGAGGGCTGGGGGGAGAGGAGTTACCCCAAAGAGGATGAGGAGGACGGCGTCAGAGGCGGATGGAGGGATTGGGCCAGCGGTTACTGTCGGGGTTACTGCTGGGGGTGCGGTGTCAGTGCCGTCTTCTTCTGGCAGAGCGGTTTTGAGTCCTAGTGCGTCCAGGATTGGCTCGGCGAGGCCAAAGGCGAGGCATAAACTCGGGGATATACCGTGGCAGGGATGAGATTCAAATTCGGATTGTCATCAATGTGCAAGTTACCTTATCAGTCATTCTCTAGCATTTCTTTTTATCAAATATCTACCACTCTTTTTATTCTTTGCTCTCACTCTGCTTTGGTTGGTACTACGTATCGTCGTACACAATAAACACAATTGCAATTTTACATAGCCGGTGAGGTGAGAATCAAGAGATAGGGCCTTCAAAATATCGCTTGCATTTTATTGCCACTGCTCGTCCTGACAGATTGACTGAAAGCTATCGTATCCACTGAAGGAGCGTAGAAAAGCCCAGTGCTTCATATACCTCATCTGCCAAAGCTGAATAGCATGCCTTTTCAAGTACACCAACTTGACCAAGTGTTTGCTCGACAGCCTCTGCTCAAAATTATCTTGGAACTTCAAATCACAATGTAGATGATACTTCATGTATGTTTCGGGCGATTTCACAAGGACGCCTTTTGAGCTAGTCGTCTCCTTTTCATAATGTATACAGACTCTGCGGTGCAAATTTTGTCACCTACCGAAACTGAAAAGTCAGATGTGGTCAAGGACCAGAAGAAAGATCGAGAAAGCCAGTATGTACTTGACACTGGAGCTGAGAACAGAATACAAGTTGACCAGGTTCTACCAGTTATACCACCCTTCTTGCTCTCTCTGCTTTAGTCGAGTTGATACAATGTATCATCTTATACTACACAATGAGTACAATCACATTACACATTCTGTTCAAGGCGACCAATGGGTCACTCTTCCTTTTTCAGCCTCTGGATCTCTTCCATGCCCTCATCATACGCCCAAAACTGGGTAACAAGATCCGGCGATGAGCTGGCCATGTTCTCCGTATCCGTCTTCCCCTCGTTTGTATCTGCTTGAAGCTCCTGTCCCTGAAACCCCTCCAGAAACGCTTCCTTCACTTTCCTCTCCTCAGTTCTCCACCTCTCCACCTCACTACTCCCCTCCCACAACACCTTGTGCATCAGATGTCTCAAAGCCGCTCTCACTAATACCCATGCCTGGCTTGCCGCCAGCACCAACAGCAGGACCGTCAAGCCCAACTCTCTCCACGCCGTCCTATCTTCCTCATCCCACACTGCATCCGACAGCGCTAATGATATCATCTCAATAGGTGTACCCGTATCCCCAGTCAGATCAAATAAATGCCCACATTGTCCCCCCCGCGGACAAAACAACGCAACAAGGATTGTATTCACAACAATGCCACTCCACCCCAAAAACTCCAACACCTCTAACCAAGCCCCAATACTCTCCGTCCGCTCAGGAATCGGTCTCCGTTCTTGTTTCGCAATCCGAAACGCGTCTTTGCGCATTTCGATGATGTTGTTTAATAGTGCGAAGAGGGGAGCCAGGGGGAAGATTGTTGACCAAAGGACGATGTAGCCAAATTGGATGACCATTTCAGAGTAGTCGGTGGAGAGGTTTGCGGGCGTTGAGGGAAGGGAAGATTCGTGGATTGCATGGGTTAGGAGAGATTCTTGAGAGTGGGAGAAGAACGAGGGGTGGAGGAGAGTTTGAGTGAGGGATGTAGAGAAAGAGCGGAGGTTGGAGAAGGCTGAAGAAAAGGGGGTATGAGGATGCTCCGGGAACGACTCCGAGGTGGGGGAATCGACGAGAGGTAATCCGGTTGTGGGGGTTTCAGAGGTGGGGGAGTCGACAAGAGGGAATCCGGCTATGGGAGATTCAGAGATGGGGGAATCGACGAGAGGTAATCCGGCTGTGGGAGATTCAGAGGTGGGGGAATCGACGAGAGGTGATTCAGCTATGGGCCCGGATTCGACCGGCTGCTCATGCTTGAGATTCCATATCAATCCAAATAAAGTGTCCCAAGTTTTCATTGCGTAAGGCCATCCAATTTCTTGGATGCTGTCGATGATCTGGTTTGTTGCAGTATACGCAAACATCTGCTCTTCTAACCTCGAGCGATCCAACTTCAGCCCATTCCCTAACGTCGTAGAAGGAAACCACCGTAGAGCTGCCTTGACCAGCGCATCACCAAAGGGGACATAGACAAGCGCTGTGAGTGTGAGACTGAGATATGCAACAAGAGCAGTGAAAATGAATGTTTTCAGTGTGACCGAGGCGTCGTGTCCAGAGTGGTGTGGATGGTTTTCCCAAGTCGCGAACCACTCGGCACACGATTGGAAAAATGAAATGAGATGGGGAACAAGAATGGCGTACACAACTGTCGGCGCGAATGCCACATACTGTTGTCCAGGTCCCGTATAAAAATGTTCACAAAATTCTTCCAGTAGGAATATCGCCGTCATCAGTACAGCCAGCAACAGTGCGAAGCCCAAAATGACTGGAATAGTGGCGAGAATTCGGAATTCACGTATCCAGGGCGAATCATCCTGGTGCGCATTCTGTACTCGCGCTTTTTCGACTCTTGTAGCACCACGAACGCCAAATCGCATTGCAATGCGGCGTTCTTCTACACGCCACCATTCTACGAATCCAATTGCCCAGATTGAAATAAGAAAAGAGTATATCGGTGAATAGGACGCTCCAAACATCCAGAAAAGAAACCCAACAACAGCTGGAAGGCCTAATGCACGACTGTAACTTTGAATAAAGATGAAATACAACGAAAAGGCATCCCCGAAATGAGCTCGAATCTGTTCGTGGGGGACAGAAGCTGTGCTAATCCAGTTTGATGCCCATTTTTGAAGCCAGAGCTCGTTAAAGGCAAGATCGTGAAGACAAAAGACAGAGGAAATCAGGCCCCACCGGGGGATATCCGGATGTATGCCCAGGCCGCCATCAGAGGGAGCAGAAGTTATGAATGAATGAACAAGGCGAATTCGTTCTGCGGGAGAAAGGGAGTATTGGTCGGGGATGGGAGTCACTGGGAGACCAGAAAGAAAGTCGATTTCTCTGCGAAGAAAAGGATTGGAACAGGAATACTTTTGCTATAAGCACAACACTGACCGTGCTTTGTGAATCAGTACATTTAATGCCGCCTCTGGACACGATACAAACACCAGAATCTTGCCATCCGAGTCTCCTCGTCGTCCCACAGCTTTCAGTCCACCGTCTTGTAGTGTCTTCAGAAGGGATCCGTATCTTTCTTTTGTTTCTTCGGCGTGTTTGTGACTGTCAGGAATTCGTACCAGAATTATAACATCGACGCCGGGGCCAGCGTCGATAGTCATAGTTCAGTGTTAAGGTTTATTTTGGGCCATGTACGTTAAGTATATAATTGGAACAAGTCAAGGTTCATGTACACTTTATGCCGGACCGGGCAGCCGCAGCAATTACACGCTTTGGCCGATGCAATTATCCTGCGCCTTCATAGAACAACCACTGTGTTCGTGCATTTTGCAGTACAAGTAGCCATCTAGGCAGCGCATACTCTCAAAATTTTGAATGAAACTTGGCACTGTAAGTCCATGGTCGAAGTAAAAGATTTCGGATAAAACTTTGAGTAGAACTCAGCGAACATGAGCAAGAACGATACGAGGAAAGCGAGCTGTCAAGGATACGATCACATAAATTCCATCGAGCGTTGAACTTCGGGTATACTTACAACGACGCCATGCCAGATGGAGATCCAGGCGAGTCAAGTCGCCAAAACAACGAAAAGCTATATATGATGTACATTTTGTGAGCACGCACTCGATATCAGTCTCATACAGACTTGGGGCCATCTCCACGATTCAATTTTGAGCGTCTGGGTTTAGTAGGAAATGTACAATCCACATTCCAGTGACCCCGCTTCTTACATTTTATACAGCGACCCGGCGGATGCTCCTTCCTCACCGGGCAATACATCAAGCTATGCGTCAGGCCACAGCATAGGCAATGCCCACGTGAGAATACCCACTGCATAGCTGAAGAGATAGTAGCCTGAGGAATCGCCTCTGGAGGGTATATGATAGAGATTAGGCCTGTCTTGGAGAACTGAGTTGAAGAAGAGGTAGGAAGAAAATGGTCGCGGAATAATCGATCGATGAGCAAAGTCAAACGCATATCGCGAATTGTAACACCTGGAATGATGAGGTCTTCAGGGAAAGGCACGATGTTCTTGGCTGGGAGGAATTCGGACCTCAAATCCGATACGGACTTGGGCATAAAAGCGTTCTTGGTAATAGTTTTCATCCTGACAAGATATACGTCTTTTTCTTCGTCTCTTTGCGCCTCGACTTTGTCCATTACAAGGCCGTGGAGGTCACTCTGCTCCTCTTTCGCAATGAGCTCAACCTGTTCCATAAACTGGATTGCACCCAATTCATCTCTAAACCTATAGCCCCCCTGGAGTCTCAACCCATTTCCAGACCCGAGTAAAACGTTACGTGGACGGTACTGCCAAGGAACTAGCCCTTGTATAGGAAGGAGATATGTTTCCATCTCCGAGGGGCTGAGCCATGGTGTAGGACGAACTTCCGAGCGGGGAGGAAGGGCTGGGAGCGCAGCTATGTGTGCAACATTTTGTGGAATGAGGCGAGGGCCAAGGATCCTCTTCGAAATATTCTGCAGTGCACCTGGCAAGTGGTTCATTGTGAAAATTAGCGCTGAGAAGCGCCCTATCGAAACGATCACGTGGTAGGCTAGGACCAGCCAGGCATGACGTCATCGGCACGCCACCATCCGATGTGCCCGACGACTCGGACACCTCCCGAAGATTAGCTCAGATCAGGGAGTAAAAACAGATGTCATGATCAAACATTGTCACTACAACGAGAGGCCAGGCCCGCAAAATATTGACAAACAGCCATAACATTCCTTCTAGCCGACTTGAACGACTGACCTCGTCATTATGTCCTACGGTACTAGTGACGCGCTCTACCAACTGAGCTAAGAAGGAGTACTTAAGGAAGTAATGCGACAAGTGAATAGCACTTACGGCTCAACTATCACGCCTTCAAGCTCAACACTGTCACTTAGTGATTGTACTGTCTTTCTTTCAGTCTCAAGCTTTAATTTACTTCTTTGCACAACTTGTCACAGCTTTCTATACTGACACCTAACTTGATAGGCAAAGTACTAGAGTCCCCACTCTACCCATGCTACATACGAGAAACATGACATTAGCAAGCCTTTGGATAGAGATGAACTGTTCAAAACCGCTCTTCTAGTGCCTAGGCTATATATCTGGAGAGCAGCTAGCCGCCACCGATGGCGTAGAAAGACATGAAAGGTGACAATGGCGCAGGGATAAAACGAAGTACTTAGGATGCACACAGGCGGCGACTTTCCCCTTCTCTCTTCCTCTTCGCACTACCTAAGACCCAAATCAAACAGTAAGCCACGGACTCTTAGTCTGGTGCCCTTTAGATCACTCCCCACTGCTTGATATAGCTTTCAGGCAGCTGTCATCTTTCAGACAAAATTAGAATTCATGATGACGACCTGCAAGGCAAGTAAGAGTTAAAACGTTAAAGTCCAGTAAATTACAACATAATATTCATAGCGGTCCTTCACTCAAGTACCCTTCCTTCGGATATTCGAGCTCGAAAGCCTGAACAGGCGTATCAAAGATTCCGGCAATAGACTGTTATCGTCTCTCCGTCCATACAACTCCAATTTTCCTCCTCTACAAACAAGACTCAACCTCCCCTGCTCCCCATGGTCAATCGCCACCTCTCTGATCAACCCCAACACACCCCTCAGTTTTGTGAAGCTACTCTGACACGTTTTCTCTGCTTTTATCAAATCCAAATTCGTCCCACCTCACGTTTCTGGATTTCATAAAAATGACCCGAGTCGTGGGCCCCAAGATAGTGGTACGGCGTCTGCGAGAGGAAGAGCTGAGGAAAGTCTTCTTTCCATCTGTTATCGACGAGTCGCTTTCGGGAACGAGTGCTTAGTTCGATTAAGGATGTTTGAGGGACGACGGAGCCGCCTTCGCCGACTCGTAGGCTGAGAGCTCCACCCACCGGAATTGATGTGAAGGTTACAGGAGGACCAGACTTGGAAGAGATCGACGTGGAGCTCAAGGCGAGAGTTAGATCGTCAATGGTGGAAGATCTGTTTCGATTGGTGGACGAAGACACCACGGGAGGCAAGCACGCATCTACCTCGAATCTCACGACAACTTTCAACCCATTCAAGTCCTACAGGAAGTGTAATGAAAAGCAAAACTGTTGCAAAAGAAAGAAAACTCACGTATTTTACTATTCGATGATGACCAGTACTTCCCTCGCAGTCTTTCGCTGGATTAGTAGTCTTTTCTTCAAAATTGAACCCAAAAGTAAACCCAGACATAGCAGCCTGCGTGCTCTTCTCCCAACGGCTGAAAATTACAGTATTTCCAGCAAGCTGCAGGTCGATACGAAAATCCCTTTCAGCTGTACCGTTAATCCAGCGTAAAAGCTTTCGCAATCCGTTTCGATCGGTGACGAGATCGACCGAGGACCAGTCAAAACTTTTTGTCGAGCTCCCAGACTCGGACTGAGAACGCTGTACAGTGTTTACAGCCACAATAAGAGGAACAAGGTTGGCGCTGGGGAACCAGTGACTGTTTTGGTCCGCGAACGATGTACCTACATCAGCAGCCACAGTGAAAGGGGTCGTTATGTTCCGCCATTCTGGAGGAGAGCCTAGTGGAAGATGCTGATTAGAAGAGTACGAAGCGAGTTGGCTTCCCGCTTTCAAGTACCTACCTGGAACAAGGATCGTAGGCTGATCCTTTGAGCCTATCCAGTTGTAAGATCCAAGATACTGTAGATCCCGTATTTTCACTGGATCGGTAAGCACCAGGGTATCGGCTCTTGGGATTTTGAATGTTTGAATTGGGACTGGAAGGAGACCTTCCGTTATGTCACGCTCATTCTCAGCCAGGGAAGGAACTGCGGCGGTTGTACTAGGTGGAGGGCGAACTGTAGGTATCCTATATCTATACCTCTGGGCAGGACTGCTAGAGCCCCGAGAGCTATAGAATGACATGACTGATGATGGCCAAGGAAGAAAACACTGGCGCTAGGACATTGAGCGGATTTTTACCTTAAGCTTTACCCATACTCACACGAGCATATAATCACAGTAGGTGTTGGCGCAGTCCTACGTAACCATGCAAGCCAGATTTCCGGGAATAGCGCAGTCGCAACACCAAAAACCATGGTGAACTTAAAGCTGAGCGCTGAGTACTAAGTTCAGAGCTTCACAAAAGAAGTTTAAACCCAGAGAGGTATTTCACAACTCATATACTGTGAAGTCGGGCCGGTACATATCCATTCGATCTGTTTATGTAATTTCAAGTTTAATTCATCTTCTCGTCTCTTTGCAAGTCTTCCCCAATTTCTTGTGCCGCTAGATTTTTTTTTGGTCGGAATCTGTACACTATGGATGCTCGCCTTCGTCGTGTAAATAAGGAAATTGCTGGTTCGTTTTCTTCAAATTGGAATCATCTTGGGATCTCACGAAGCGATATCAAGATTGTAAGAATGACAAGACTTCGAATATTTCTTTGGAACTCGTCGACAATTCGCCGTTTCATCTGAAAGGATCTTTTCCTGGCCCAGAGGACACGCCATACCAGGGTGGCCACTTTGAAGTGGTGAGTTGTTTCTTGTACAGATCGAATTCAGATCTTTGCCACAGATTGTGAAAGGCGCAAGCAACGGTTCACTGACCATGCTTCTTAGGACATCATAATTCCAGACTCGTACCCTTTTCAACCGGTCAAGATGAAGTTCATCACAAAAGTTTATCATCCAAACGTGTCCTCCGCATCTGGCGCCATCTGCTTGGATATTCTCAAGGACGCTTGGTCACCCGTCCTTACTCTTAAATCCACCTTGATTTCGCTACAGAGTCTACTCTGTTCTCCTGAACCGAACGACCCGCAGGACGCGGAAGTGGCGAAACACTATACCACCAGTAAAGGTAGTTTCGACGAGACGGCTAGGTATTGGACACAAATATATGCTGGTGGTCCAGGGCCAAAGGATGTCAAAGAATCGAGAGTCTCTGGGGCCGCCAGAGATGATGTGGCTATTGCGGGATTAGAAAAAGCGCATGTGGATCAGTTTGAGGGGATTGGTTTCCCTAGGAATAAAGTTGTGAGTATGCTCTGATGTTCACAACGGCCTCTTTACTTTTCACCGTTTCATTCCGCGTGCTAATGAACCTCCTCGTAGATTGACGTTCTGAGGAGATTAAACTACCGCGGAGCTAACGTAGCGCAGATATCGGAAGACCGAATAGTGGAGGAGCTGCTGAAGCCATAGTCATTTGCCTCGTCCTTTAGTATGATCTCTCTCGAATGCATACATATTCTTCTTTCACCCCGCATGACCTTTGTCCATCCGAAGCTTTTCATGTCAGTGACCGTCACACGAGAGACATACATAACCTATCTCCTCTGCATTCAGATGTTTGTTTGTTTCGGTAAGTGTCAATGAGAAATTCGAGGTGACAGTTTCTCATTGACTAGAATCCGTTGGCCATTGATTTGCAAGAAGTTGAACGTGGACACCTTCGTCTCGCCCCCGCGAGGTTCTCGTCAGTCATCTTGAGAAAAGCGCCATTCATCTGTCTTCCGAATACCAGTCGGTGGCGTTGCAAGTGTTGTATTTTCCCTCGAGTGAATGTTTCTTGCTTCTAGTCGACGGATCTCATTAAACACTTGCGGGTCTCTAGCCGGTCGCTTATATGAAAGGTTTGTACAACCCCCAGCCTCGCTGGAGTCTGATGTAGGCAGTTATCAATCCCTTGGTCGGAACTGCTGGCGAGGGTGATGAACCCTTCACTTCGAAGAATAATCTCTTTCGATATTCTGTGACCCCTGACTGAAGTCATTATGAGTAAGAGTTCAAATTAAGCGACGTGCCCTTTGCAGCTGGCCTCGCGACCGTCAGCAATTCTATGGTTCAACATCTCGTAACGGAAAGCGATTGGATAGCGGTATTCCAAGGTATGACGGTGTTGGGTTCTTTCTATGTACTTACTTGAATTTAGGCTGATGTATCCAGGAAGTTTGATATTCATAGGTAGATTTAGACGTCAAAATACTATTTTATGTTTTCGCCGAGCTCATCCGACGTCCAAGCGCTGGTTTGGACAGTCTGAATGTCCCCCATACCTCGGTTCTACGTTCCTATTTCCATCGTGTTTGACGAGTGCAGGCCTTCTGTTGCACCGTTGGCAAGCCGCAAGCCCACAAGATCTCGGAGATTGTAACGTGCTGAGATCTTGACTTGCGCTGCGTCATATACGACTGTGAAGACGAATTGGCGAAGAGGACGCCCATACGCATTTTTTGCCACCCCTTGTGGCTAGTTAATCACTCCAAAAGAGATGTCGAAATGTTTTTGAAGATAGAAGATATCACTAGGAGTTACAACGGGTCACTACAATAATACTACTACATTTTCCCCTACATTTTCCCCACCGGTACCTCAAAGGGGAAATCACAGGGACGAAAAATAACACGCCACATAACTACGACCTAGCTACTTAGTTGTGTATGAACGATTTAGCAATTCAAGTCTTGGCCAGAGTAGTCACTAAAATTTTTACCTTTCTCCGACCCTAAACTAAAATTCAGAGACCGAATACACGGTGTGGAGTTCAGATACAATACGACCACAAGTGTCTCAATCATGAACCAGAAGGTGGTGGAAATGGCAACGCTCCACCAACTATTTTGGCTATGAACAGAGGCTCTAGCCCTCCTGACCAACTAGCCAGAGAGGTCAAACGAAGTCTCTGTGTCATAGCAAAATAGTTGTGTGAAGCGATGCAACACCAAAAATCTGATGCCATGAGAAGAGTCCTTGGGGGAAGGTGAGGAAGGGGAGTGGATGCCTGGGGACTTTCTTTAACAAGGAGGTTTTATACCCGTTGAAGATGTTTCCGGATGGA